TGAACTTATGGGAATCTTGCCATTGACTTCAATGGGACAGGATTGCACCCCTAGTACTGCTAGATGAAATTCGCAAGAAAACTGCTTAAGTAAACAATGGTTATACAAATTCCTGACTCTTTTTACTGCTAATAAAATTAACACCCAATGATAAATATCATTGTTTTTTCTGATCTGCCTTTCAGCAACATGTCCACTATTTACCTTCTGATATACAATAACACCCAATTTTCAGACACTCCCATTTTACTTCCCATTATCATAAATTCAACAGTTCATAAAAGTTTCTCCACAGTAAACCTCTGTATCCTTAAATACTAAGACCAAAAAATAAACAATGTCAGGAATAAGAGTGTATAGCAAACATATAATTACCGGTTACCTTAGCTTTTGATACCTTAAGTCTAATACCCTTACTACTAAAGCAAGGCAAACATTCAAACCTCCCATCTAAAAAGCCTTAATGTTCCTGGGATAATATCAAGCAGTAGTCTATAGAGTCCTAAAGTTGTTCAGGAAGAACTTGTAGAAGTTACGATCATTAATATTTAATTTACAATAAATGGATTTTAAATGGCAGTATGAGCTGTCATCTGATATTAATATCATGCATCCTTGTTTCATCCATCTATATTAATATCAATATTCAAAATGGGCTTGAAGAAAGACACCGTGATCCAAACATTTCTAAGCTCTGCGGAATTTGGATTTCAATCAGACAGAGCCTTTTTGCAAGACACTGCTAACTTAAGTGGAACCTGAGTGATAGGCTAGGCTTGGCCTCAATTCATTCCTGAGCACTGGGGAGGAATGGGTTAGTCATTGTTTGCCATCTGCTTTGGAGAACCAGTGTTGTAAGGAACCTCTTGTGCAGCCTGTGTAAAACCACAATGCACAAAGAGCGATAAAGGAAAATCCTGTTTTCAACTACATTTTTTTCAGTGCACACTAGAATGGTAAACACTTTGTGGTTAACCCCCCCTCTCCTTTCCTCTGGACAGTGGTCTCTGTGGTGCATACCACATCATTTAACATTCCCAATAAAGGTACAGCAATAGCACTGTGGATAAGCATTAGTGGTCTGCCTAATAACAACTTACTCATGGGATGCCAACCTGTCAAACCACAAGGTCACCTTTCAGATGGAACTCAAAAATCTATGGGCTCTTTCCAAGTTGCCACCTGTAGCCCTTGCTGCAATACACACTGTCGGAACACAAAGCCGCAGTGAAATCTTAACAATGCTAGTGCTTTCAGTTTTTTATTCCATAAGCAACCAGCCCCCTTGCAAGGTTGCCCCTTTGCTCTCCTTGTTTTAAGTCATCTACTGACTTTTAGGCCAAAAGTGGATCCTTTGGAGGATCTGGTGGTATATTCTAAGGTAAGTTGTGAGCATTTCTGACCATCTCCAGGCAATTCAGTCAAGGCCAAATCCCAATGTTTTTATTCAAGCAAAATGAGACCGAGAGTTAAGAAAGGGGCCTTCATTCTTGCATAAGGCTTAGGAGGCATCAGGAAACAAAACAGATCCCACTTCTTTGCTACTGATAACTTATTCCTTGGGGAAAAACTTTAGCAAGGACATCAAAAGGTTCTCCCCTTCATTTTTATGGACCGCAAGTCTTCTGCCATTCACATTTTGCCTCACTGCTCAATGACAGGATGGTTAGAACTTTCTTGAGCTTTGCAGGAGAGAAGTCATGGAGGTGAATAGGGTCTGTGGCTCAGGGAGATGGCTGTTGACTTGGAAAGGAGGGGCTCTATGTTTCTGCTGGGGCCTTTGATCCCAGTGAGGCAGAAACTTCCCCCTGTACTGCCTTCCATACTTTTTTCCCCAACGGCTATGTTAGTGGCTTAACTTCAAAAGCGGTGCTGGAGAATGGTGTGGGTAATTCCTGACCCATGGTGGATGGTTAGAGTGCTGTGATAGGAAGTGAAATAAGTCCTGGTTCATATCCTCAGGACTTCCAGCATTCCAGATGAGTGCCCCAGCCTGACTTGGGGTTAGAGGGCTGCGCTAGGAAGTGAAAGAGGCACCGATTCAAATCCATTCTAGATGAGGGGGACCCAGAACCCAGGACTTCCAGCAACCCAGGTGAATGCCCTAGCTACTGAGTTATAGGACAAAAGAGGGGCACCCTTATCACTTGTCGGTTCCTGAGGCTAAGCCTGGTAGACACAAGTTCTGGATATCTCCACTTTCAAACATCTAAGTCTGCTGTGTATCCCCAAGGTGTGTACATAAGGGTTATAGTTTCTATGTCACATACTCAGGTGTTGTGACTATGTAGCTGTGTATGGTTACCCATGAACACAAGGTATGTTGTCAGGAACAGGATATCCCTTGGGACTGTAAGTACCCAAAATGCCCTGCAGAAATTCCTGCCTCCTCCTCCCCCAAACAGCTATACTGGATGACTCAGTCACCCCCTACTACAGTTCATGATTTATCCTAAAATAAAGTTTCTTCTCTCTGCATTGAAAAATCACATCTCTTCTTCCTACTGATTACTGTCCTCAACTCACGGTAAAGAAAGACCTGAGGAGAAAGAAGGAAATTATCCTTTGCAATTTATTGCTGCATACTACTATCTTTTAGAGCATCAAATGAATAAGGTCTTTTAGGAAAAGAGAGAGAGAGATCAGCAATAGTTGCATAAGATATGGTAGAAAAATGCTTTACAACAGAAACATTATGTTTCCTTTCATTAGGGTAGATGGTTACTACCTTGTTTTTAGAATAAAACCAAGTAACATGTCACCTGACATTTATGAACAGAATTAAAGAATGATATACCAGGCATACAAAAGAAATGCTTTCAATTATTTATTACCAGCAGTCCTTGTACTTATGGAAGGATCTATTGGAAAAGGAGTCATAGAGTTTACCCATCAACATCATGCAATAAAAGAAGAGAGGGGATGTTGATAGATTTGCCTGCTGGTACTTTAGTATCACGTTGTTCCTTTTCCTAAGACCACCTGGTATTGTTCATGGAGGCCTTTTTGCATTGAGGATCTCAAATAGATCTCTGAGGCTGTCATTGACACTCCACATTTTTCTAGTCAAGCATTCTATGCCAATTTGCAAGACAATTTCTATATTGATGCTATTATGTACATGGATACCTACTGACCTGCATGTATAACGGATGCAAAACCTGAGCCAGGGTCACCAAGTGTCCATAAAAAAAAAAGAGCAATTCATAAAAAAGGAAGCTACCAGAGCTTCAATCAAGCTCCAAGGTTGGAAAGATGCTGAAGGCACTACTGAAGCAGACAGAGAGAGCACAGCAACACTGCCTGGTGTCTGAGAAAGAGTGCACAGCACCTTGAAGAGAGCTATTTCAGGGCTTTGTGGCTCATAGGATTTTGTAGCTCCCTGCCCTCCTTTCCAAGATATGTTCTTCTGCTGCTGCTGCATCCCTATTGCCTGTAACATTGCTTGTCTCACATGTATACAGATAGTAGTCCTTCTCTGGGGGTCTGTGCTGAGACAGGGGGAGCAGAGCCAGCTCTGGTAAGGCTGGGAGGGTAGGCTGCAGGTGGCACTATAGTGCAAGCTGTGGACAGGGGTATCAGGGTCTGCGGGTAAATAAAAGATCCCTTCAGGATTCAGCATGGTATAAAAACATTGCTGTAATTCAGCAGTGTTGCCAATCCAAGACATTTTTTTACTTACTATTTGTGAACTGTTTACTGACAGACAAATATTTTTACTATGCTTGGTGTTAAGCCCCTAATTTGAACCCAGACCCTATCCAGGGTCTGGCAGAAAGGTTATATTTACATTACTTAAAAATATGTTAGTAAAGACTTATATGTCAGTTATAAAAGTTTGATGTCAGTAAAAAGTATGCAGGTTATAAGTTAAAAAAAACTGTTTTGGATTGGCAGCCCTAAAGAGAAATGCCTGAGAGCAGGGAGGAGAGAATAGCTTTATGGCTAAAAAAAAAAGTGGATCATGAGATACAGGCTGGATCTTCTACATACTTGGTTAAACCCTCAGTGCTCAATTTCACTATGGGTGAAACAGGGTTAGCATTTACCTATATTACAGGAATATAGTATAACAATTCATTAATTACCAACAGGGATAGGTACAAACATTTGAAAAGCCTGAGGCAGAATCAATCTAAGTTATGTGGTTTTCTGTCAGTGGAGTAGTACAGATAAGCAGTGAAAAGAAACCACATTTGGTTTGTGTGCTTAACTTCTGTTCTGTTATGGGTAAAGACTGGTTTCCAATCGCTTAATGTAATGTCTGTTCCTGGCCTAGAAGTCTTCCGCATCTCAGAAATCCTATTTAAATCCTCAGAGCTCAAATGGCAATTGCAATGTATACAGCATTGTGCTGGTCTGCTAGCTGGGGCCTGTTTTCACTCTAGAGTTTGTACAGTGTTGAGAACCTCAGAAGCCACTATGTGCATGCTATACATTTGTGTCAGTGTGCATAATTAAGTTATGTATTATTAGACATGCTGTTTTGTGTTTCTTAGGTGGCAAATTTGCAGGTCACTGTGGTCCTTTTTCAACAGTGCAAACAAGCTTATAGCCATATGTCCTAAGTGGGCACCTGTTTGTAGTGGCTATAAATGACAAGGAGAGAAAAAAATTAGGACTCTTTTCAGGGAATGTCAAAATGCCATAGAGCCATGGTGATTTATATTTATTTTTCAATTTTTGTTGTAATTATGCTAAGGTTGCAGTTTGGTTTTTTGGGGGGGGTTCTTTGACAAATATTAAGGGCTAACAGAATTCCCATTACAGCCTACAGAAGCAGCAAATTAAAATGGTCATTATTTTAAATGTATATATGGATTCCAGGGTACTTTGGTAGTCAGTCAAAATATGACATCAGACCTTGATGAATTCTGACAAAAATACATTTCACAGCATCATCTAAAGGTTCTGGAAATGACTCCAAATGATTGTTTTGCCATTTAAATCCTGGAAATAATCCACTCTGAAGGTCTACACACTGCATTTTTCAGGCATACCTCTCTGCACAGGTCATCAGATCATCTTTTCTTTTTTGACTTCTTTAGCAAGTCTCCCATAGATGGATGAACAGAGATTTCCAGTATGTCACACTTCCTATTTTAAAAAAAGAAGAGAAACAACAAAAATGTGAATGCTACCATTATGAGGAAAAAATGATTGGGAAGCATAGAAAGAATGGCTAAAAGAAGATCTTCCAGTTTGATTTTCTGTATGTGTACACTTTTCCCCCAGAATAAAGACCAACACAGCACTCAAATACTAGTTTGAAGGCTTTAGGTAGATTTAACACATGTATAAGTGGTCTTTAGTACAGTGGTGTCTTTTACCTTTAATGAGGCTCTGAGACTCGAATCTTTTAAATCTGTTTAATTCAGCTGCTATAAATCTTGATAAGCTCATTAAAAGTAATTGTTTAAATTCTCTTTGGCAACTAGTAGGTTTTTAAAAATCCCAAGATAAAGTATTCCCATCTGAACTCCCCATTTCAGTGTGGGTAAAAGTTAGTCCTTAACACTCTGTCCACACTGGATTTTGCAAAGTTAATAAAAAAACAAACAAACATCAGCTTAATTAACTATACCGCAATACAGCTTATAAATATATTCATTGCATGTATTGAGTAAGATGTTATCATAGTCTTAAGGAATGAGTGAAACTTGTATCTGCAGATGATACTTTTGTATCTACTTCAATTATATAACCCTATACAATGTACCTGTTATAGCTGTAAAAACATAAAATATGGTGAAATACTTTTTTATTCTGCATTTAAGATTACAATAAAACTCTGTAGTAGCAGTGTGAATAAAAGCTCATCCCAAAGACATCCCAATTTGACTCTTTCCATTAGGTTGCATTTTATATATATCCATAGACATGTTTTCAGTTCTCTTCAATTACTGATGCCAGCCTCTTCAGAAAGGCCTTTTCCGCCAGACCTTTTGTTTCCCAGTAATGCCACACAATATACTGTGTGTTCACAATGGCACTCTAAATCTTTTTGGAACACTACCTCCATGTAGTGATAAATCTCTCTGTCTGTTTACCTGACCCACATAATCCTTGCATTTGAATGCCCTATGCTCCCTGAATCTTAGCCTCACACCACCACATTGGAGAAGTATTAATTAAGTTTTACAAATGGGAAAAATAAAGGCACAAGGGCCAGATCCTTTAAAAGACTGTAGTGCTAAAAAGTAGGCACTGCAGTATCAGTTGTTAGGGATTTGGCTCTTAGAGCAGACTCCAGTTTTGAGTTTTGTGCTTGGGCTACTGGTGCAGCATATGGGGAAGGATAAGCACCTCAGAATGCATGTGCATGTTTTAATATTATGTATCATTTCATATTCAGGGTTACTTATGCTAAACCCTCCCCTGTCATCACTTTCTCAGTTTCAGCACGTATCAGCCATGTTATTTAAGAACTTAAAAAAAAAATATATCCTAAGATCTTCATGTTCTGTTTTGCTTCACCTGTTTCAATATTGCTCTTCTCACTCTACAGTTTATGTTGGTAGGCCTCCCACTTCTATCCTTTGACAGAACACTACCCTCTTTTATTGTTGTTTCCATCATTCACTTAGGTTGAAGAACCTGTCAGTATATTTTTTCTCATAGCCTGCATCTTATAAGCAAGATTTTACTTCGTTTCTGTGGTTGGAGATCAACTTCTCCTCATCTCTGGTAACATGATAGTTCAGTCCCTGTTTAAATATTTAACCTGCTCTAAAATGTGTTAATCCATCTGTTTGCCTTACTGAACAGCCGAAAATAATTTACTAAAACCCTGATTCTTTTTTTTTATGAACACAACTATGTGGATATAACATTTTTGTGGTTTCTAAAATAGAAGAACAGTCTGCAAAAGTGAGGCAGGAATCATCTGGTTCAGCCTTAGTCAGATGCGTGCATGGAGGATCCATGCACACATGCCCAGAACTAGGATGCACAGAATTACTACAGGAAAAGAAACTCAATTATATAATCTGTGCATACAGACTATGTATTGATGTGGTGTCACCAAGATTTGACAGGCATGGGATTAGGACTGTCACACTATGATGCAGGAAAAAACCCTAGAAGATACACACACAAGTAACTTTTCTCATAATTGGACAGTGTCTTTAATGACTACTTTTCTATTCATAACAGAATCACAGAGATTGTCAGATATTTTTGTTGTAACTATCAGAATGTATAAAACAATAAACACATGGTTTGCTGATTTGCGTCCTGATTCAAGAAAGCCCCTTTGTTGAAGAAAAGACTTAAGCACATGCTAAACTTAAAGAATGGGCTTACGTTTGGTTGAACCCAACAGGACTTAAAAATGTGCTTTAAATTAAACACTTGCTTAAGTTCTTTCCTGAACTGGGGCTTTGCTGAACATAAGAATGTAACAGTTCTCAAGGTAAATAAATCTTACTAGTCGGCAAATATTTCCTTCTTTAATAGGAATTATGTTAACAATATGAAGAAAAATTAGTATATTGCCCAAATAGCAATGCTGTATTAAACGAGTTCTCTGAAACATGCAAGTGACATAAACTGAAACTAGGAAAAAAAAAACCCAGAGCCGTGCCAGAGAGTAAGACATTTTGTTCAAGGAAAACACCCCAATAATTATACAGAATGAAGATCAAGCATCTCACAGAACAACTTAGGGTAAAAACAGACCTTGTATTTCTTCCAGGATAATGTATTTTGTCCTGGAATCCTACTGCCAATTGTCCCACTATAAGTACCTGTAAAATAGCTGAGGCAACACTTTTTTCCAAGGACAAACATGGCTAATTCGAGTTAATTGTCATTCAACTCAGGGTCAAACTGTTTGTGTAAAAGGCTGTACTACTCTCAGGTTTTGACCTGGATCAGTCAGAACTGACTCAAATGCAATGTCTGTTTTTATTTTTGGGCCCGGTGCAGACATTACAGTTTTACAGGTATAAGTTATTGGAAACCAGTCGATATCCATAACAGAAGTTTGGCACACAAAATTGGCCTATACCCACAACAGAAGTTTGGCACACCAAGACTCGTTAAAAATGGCAGAACCCGGTCTAAAATTTGTTCCCCACTCCTCCTCACCAAAGGGGAAATGTGTGTTCTCTGCACTACCTAGCTAAACTATGCTGATTATAGAAAACTGTGTAATTTAGATCAATTCCAGCATGGGCTTTTTGAATGTCTGTACCTAGCCTTGGTGTGTTCATTTAATACCTGCACATTGATATATTTAAGTGAGTCCAGATTTAATTGTTAGCCAAATCCCCTAGAGTTGATGGCTCTTCCCTAATCCAGTGAACCAAGAAAGATACTAAAGGTTAGCTGAGAGTGAAAACCAATGCTGCCATTTTAGCTTAAACCAAGTAAATGATTTTGGAGGCCAAAGCTATCAGCAACCAGACCATGAAAAAAACTTTAAAATCATTGTGTGTCTAAGTTCTGCATGCTTTATACTTTCCTGCTGTGCACAAATGTATGAATTTCCCAACATTTTGTTTGTGTGGGTTTGATCTATGTGTAAAATCCTACTGAGCAGTCTTTTGGCAAATTTGTCATTTTGGTCCTAAAGAGGCATTTAAAAAAGATTATCTATAAAGAAGAAAATATTAAATATCTCCTGTGTGTATGCTTTCTTCCAGGAAAACATTTTTTCTGTTTGTGTTATGTTGGTGAGAGTAGATTTTTCCCACTAAGATTTATCTGCTAACTGATCTCTCTCTTTCTTTTCCATTGGCACTGTATGCAGTTCTGACAGTCCAGGTGTCCCTGATGTAGGAAAATCATTCCAGATATAGACCTTAAAGGGCTTACATTTCTCACAAGCATGACTTCCAGCCTTGTAAAAAACACAGCATCTTCCAGGGCCGTGGTTTTGCAAAGACGTTGACACTAAGAGTGATCCCACTTGTACTTGCCACAGTCCATAAATTTAAACCTTTACAGTAGGGCTGCTCAACTGGTGGCCCATGGGCTTCATGTGGCCTTCTGGGGTTAATGTGTGGCCCACAGGTTCTCACTTGGCCATCACTCCCACCCCATAGCTCTGACTGCAATAGGAGCCGGAGTCTCCAGGCTCCCCACCTTCCTCTTTGGCTGATATTTCCTGCTTTCACCCCAGGAGTCAGGGCAGTGCAACTGCGCAAACAGAGGAGGAGGAATCTAGGGCTGCAACGAAGGGGGGACTGGGGCTGGTTGTGGGAGCAGGGGATCGCACTTATGAGGTACAGAGATGCCTGTGGTGGAGGCAGGACAGGGGGGGAAGTGTCCGCATGGTATGCCTGGTTCGGCCCACATGGCATGTGGCCCCTGGGGGCTTAGAAGCCGGACAGTCCTGCTTTAGAGGATCATGGCCTAAAGCAGTTAAATTTCTCCTCTATCCCCAAGCTTTTTTGTAAGGGTAGATCAAATGTAATTTTCAAAGCATTTTTGTACTCTCTGGAGTGTTTTGTTTTCATTGATATTTTAAAAAGGCCTTTGGGGAACTAACTGGTAACTGCATAAGGAAAGAACCAAGCAGAAAATACAAAATTTCACTGGCATTAGCTAAGTAATACAGATCACCATTCAGACTAGAGCTAGATCTCACTTACCCTGCATTAAGAACATACAAGCATTAAGGACATACAAGCAGAGTTGTGTTTCTCCATCTGTCTCAATAAGTTTAACAGGAGGCAGAGGACACTGCTTGGGGCTATGGCAGGGAAATGAAAAAAGAACTTTTAATTCATATTTTTTCTTTAAGAAAGGGACAAAGAAAATTCAAGCTCTCACTTACCAGTTAGTTTCCCAAAGGCCTTTAAAAATATCAATGAAAACAAAACACTCCAGAGACTACAAAAAGGCTGGAGTGTCTTTGCTGTTTGTAAAACAAAATTAAGAAAGGCAAAGGCACACAGAGGCATGTCTGAACCGTACAAGCAGCAAGATCAAATTAACTGGGTGAAGTGTCACATTAAGACAAGTTATACTGCTCTTGGTACTTAGACTGAAATTAACTGGGAGATCTCTGCATGGCACTGCATTATGTAGCACCGACGTAACCAGGAGTTCCTTCTACTATTATCTAGCTATATCTTCCCCCAGGAGGC